TCTCTCTCTCTCTCTCTCTCTCTCTCTCTCTCTCATGTATATATATAACATGATTCAGGAAGGATACAATAACCCTTCTTTTTCATCACTCATCATGTCCCGTGGGGTTGACATAGCTTGGCTTGTCTTTCTTTGTTTCAATCGAAGCTAACAAGCAATTTCTGATTCGAAAACCACACTAAAGAAGCACAAGTAAGAGGAAGAGGAGGAGGAGGAGGTCATAAACTTAGTAGAAATGGGTACAAGGATTGTTCATTGTCTTGTATTAATCCAATTGGGTCTTGTTCTATGTTCAGGTAACTTGCTGGTTCTTCTCTACTATGAATTATTTCCACTTTTTTTTTAAAAAAAAATTTGTTTCATTGATCCTCTTTCCTGATGGGTATCTAATTCTCTGTTGCACGAATCCAAAATTCTTTTCTCCTTTATTCTTTCTTCTTTAGTTACTTGGCAGCGAATGCTTTTGCATTCCTCATTTTCCAATTCCATTAATACTTAAAAATTAAAACATGATTATGTACCATTTCTTTTGGGAATGTCCTCACGAATCATTGCTCTTGTTGGTATAAATGTTGTTTATTGAATTTCAAATTTGTTGACTTGCATGCTGGAATTTTAGTTCCAATTACTTTTCTAAGTGAATCTCAATTCTGTCGTAAGGGGATTGCCGTTTTAAAGACGCTATGCATTCAAAAATAAATCATGTCTTTGGGTCTTCAAATTTTGAATGATTATTTCATTTTAATTTAACGTTTTCTTATATTTTCTTTAATCATTATTAACCCAGTTCTATCCTGACTAAAACCTGTTTAATTTCTATTACTAGCATTCGTAATGTCCTGCTTTGTACTGTTTCAAATTCTTAATGAGTGTATTGGCTCTTTCTTTTTCGTTCAATTTTTGTCAATTTATACTTATCTTAGTACCTTTACCAATAGTTTTAATCTTTCAAATCTGAATATTTCTATGGCTTCATAATTTTTCTGTCCCGAGTGCTGAATGCTGATGTTTATTCTCTCCATTTTTTACCCCCAAATATGTTATCGAATGTTCGATGGCGACACTAAAATGATTGCTCATGATCTGTTTTTGGGTTTAGAATTTGCAGTCTTTTCCCCTATGTTCCATCTAGTTTTAAAAGCAAAAGTAACCGAACTTATTTCTTTTGTTTATTCTGATTTTATTCTCAGATTCAATTGTTACATATACAGAAGCGTTTCGACACAAGGGACAACAATCCCGTAGGGTGAGACATCTACTATCCATCTCCATTTCCACAAGGCAAATGGACATTACAACTCCAATAACAACTGTTCCAACTATTAATCCCACAACTCCTACTGCAACTCCTTCAGTACTAAACCCTGCAGATTCAAACCCTGACTCACCAACCACCACGAATCCAATGAATCCGGTCATGACTCCGTCCACGACAACGCCCCCCATATCATCAAGTGGAAGCTGGTGCGTTGCAAGCCAATCTGCATCGCAAATAGAATTGCAGGTTGCTTTAGACTATGCTTGTGGCTATGGTGGTGCGGATTGTTCAGCAATTCAAGCTGGTGGCAGCTGCTACAACCCTAACACAATTCGTGACCATGCTTCTTACGCGTTTAACAGTTACTATCAGAAGAACCCGGTTCCTAGAAGTTGTTTTTTTGGTGGGACTGCTGTTACCACCAGCACTGACCCAAGTAAACTACTTCTAGTTCTGATTCTGTCAAGTTTTCTTCAATACTTATAATTTCTGATTTTGTATTCGGGCTGATTTCTGATTAAAAGCCTTCTAATAAAGTCCAGTCTTACAAAATCTCAAAATCATACATTGTATTTTGGGATAAAATTTTCAATAGTTCAATTGAATTATACTGGGGAAGTACTATCTTGAACATAGCATCCTTGATGTATCTTGCCTAATTATCTTGGTTTTCTAACATGTATTACTGCTTTTTTTACACCTTTCTGATTTTGCGCCATAAGATACCCACAAGGCCACAACAATTTGTAGCAAAAGCATTGCTCTCTTCTTTGGAATTGCTTCAATAAAATCCCCAGTCTGAGGAATCTTTCATCACTTCTACTATTTTGGCTGTAAAGTTAATGATGTTACCCTAAAACTACTTGCAAGATTTCTTTTCTACTCATATATTTTCTCTCTCTGCAGGTCATGATACATGTCCATATCCATCAACTAGGTAAACCTTCCCCACCTTATCTAGCTCAATATTCTCAATTTTTTGGGTAGATATCGTCAATTTAGTGAAAAAATCCTCATCATTGTTTGGAATTGCAGCACAAGCTCATCCATTTTGAACACAACCAATTCCAGTGGGTCAACAGTTTTTGGTTCTGGACCTATCACTCCCTCCACTTCGTCTGCTGCAGCTGTGTCAAATAACTTCCCACATTCTTTCATTTTAATATGTCTCATTAAGTTTCTAGCCAGATATCATGTATAGAACAGATGGAGACTATTCCTCACTTTTTCGCTCTGGACTGAGTAATGAGACAAACAATTTTTTCTTGGTTTGGTAGGGGACAGATACATAAAGGAGTTGGAAAGGGATTGATATATGAGGAAAAAGGAGCAGCCTACTTGGTTTTTGTATTGGTAGAGGCCTTGCTTCGTTGTAGTTTTGAAGTAGTTATATAATGTTTTATCAAGCTCGTTTGGTTTAGATTTTTGTAAAGGATTGAAATGGTAGTGATGCTTCCAAATTTTGTGATAGGTCTTTATATATATGGTGATATTGTTTGTATGATAGACCTCTGAAACTGGAAGCTCAATTTGCCTTTTCTTTTAACTAGCACGTGCATATGTGTGTTGCACGTATACAATTTTGAATATCAAATACTCTATATTACTACCGTAAAGATCATGAAGTATCCATTATATGATCCCTGAAGTTGATCGTGTCACTTGTAGACAAGTTTTTGGACTATTTTGTCATTCCTAAGATAGCGTTAGAAACCTAAAAGCAAGAGTTCAAAACAAAACTTGAGATTTAGAATCAAATGAAGAATATCATTGATGTTTCTAATCATTCTATTTTTGTAAGACTTTTCCACATAAGTTCTGATATGCATGAAATGATGTTTATGTGGAATTATGGAATAACACCAACTATGCCAACATTTAGAATGTCCATACTAAAGAAAACACACCCTAAAGATTATTCAGTCCAATCCAAAAACAGCATGAGTTTCACATTTTTAAATTCAGCGTCTCCTTAAGTTTAAAGTACTTATTGAGTTGAAGACGCATTTAAATTTTTTTTCAAGGAATGAAATGTTACCATGTGAAAATTTTCCAAGGAATTCAAGGGTAGGCTCACTTATAACCCCTCAATGTCGTACCATACCTCCTAGACAATCTAAACAGAGTATCTCATCATCTTTTATCTAATAAAATAGCATAAATTCAGACAAGTCAAAAAGCGTTCATGCTTGACTCTGACCATTATCATGCATAGTTTCTCATGATAATGCATAGTATACATAAATTAAAAGACATGGGAAACTCGTAAGATCTAAAATCAAATGAAATGAGATAATAGAGTTACAATGATTTTTTTCTAAGTGAACAAATTGGTTAAATTGTAGAAGATCATGTAGCTTTATCCGACCTTGTTAATAAAGTACGAGAAGGTAACCCTATTAGTAAATTTAACCAAAAACCTTAATATGTACGACATCATGTTCCTTAGATAAAGTTTTGTTTGCTCGTTGTTTAGTTTTTTTTTATCTTACTATTTCTTTACTAAATAGATTGTGCTAAAATAAAGCATAAAATAATGTTTGAAGTAGCTTATAAGTTAAATAAGAAAGAAAGCAAAATTTGCAATATCACAATAACAATGTCAATTATGGCAAGTGTTTCTTTTACAAAACAATCTTGACACTATCTTATGGATAAATATAAGTTACTTGAAACCAGAAAGTTCATTTCTTGAATTGGAAGTTTTTCTTCTTCTAATCACGGAAAAGAAAAAAAATTGTTAGAGTTGTTTCACTTTTGGCTACATTCCTAATTGTCAATAGTGATAGTGAAGTAACTTAGCTATTACTTTGTATAAATATTGACTTGAAATCACAATTAACAGATGCATAAGACTTAATTTGTTGAATCTTTGAATCATTTCTCAAAAGTATACCAGAGGATATACAACTAAGTTCTAAAGCATTTTTAATATAAAGAGACATAACTTAGCACATTAACATGAAATTCACCTTCAAAAATAGAATTATAGGCTTTTAGTTAATTTTAACCTGGTAGGATTATCACTGAAAATTACCTCACCGGTGCATCTGCCTATCAATCAATCTTTAGAAATGAGCAGATGAGTCTTGTGAATTAGAAGCATGCATAAAAGCCAATGGTACCAGTGCGCACTATTAAAAAAAAAAAAAGAACAAACAAACTGAAGCAATCAAAATAAACCTAACATACAACACTCTTTGAATTGTCTTAGTGATGCCTAGTTGAAGAAAAAAATGGTCATAGAGGAATTGTTATGGTGCCGACAAACTTGATGTTAGGGGTGTCCTCCACCACCACAGGCTGTCTCACTACACAACTAGAAGTAGCAACACATGATGCTTAGACGACTGCTAGTATAATTTGGCGGGGATTAATATGGCATTTCAACATGTTTTTACCAGCCTTAGTAGGTACATCCTATCTTCTAGAAACATGATTAATTTCATGAACTATGTTTATGTTTCTTTCTTGGTGCTTAGTCCAATCCCTTTTTATTCATAACCACAAAGATTTTGAGTGGCTTGATGTATAATTTTTTTTATGTTAATTTGTTGACAAGCATACCGATATACGTCCATGTTCACTTGTATTGAAAACACTATTCAATAATAGACCCAAAAAAAAAACCATATTCAAGATAAGCAAAAGTACAAAGTCTCATGAAATTGAAAACTAAGCAAAAAAATTGTTCATCTAAAATTTGAATTAAAACACTAAATAAAAAAAAACAAAAAATAATAATCTTCAACACACATTAGATACTTGTGTCCAATAGTCGGTGAATGAAGGAAGAATTGGAAGATGAAATGGTTCACCTTCTAATGGCCAACTAATTTACCAAATGGATGTAGTTATCATTTATATATTTATTTAATACTTATTCATATAATTTATTGTGTTGTAAATCAATTATAGTAGGAAGGCTAAAAGTTAACAAGTATAAATATAAATATTGATATTGGATAATTAAATATATAAGAATATAAGTATCTTTAATATTTTTTATAGGAAAATAATATTCAATCAAATTTTTTTCACTTATCTGCCTTTTAATAGTAGTATAGATACACACCGGCGGATTTAATATAGCAATGAACAAAGTAGAGGAGAAAGCACTATTGGAGACTAATGGAGGGATGAAGAGAAACCCGAGAAGGATATAATAGAATTCCTAAAGAAGTGAAATGAAAAATTATTTTTTGCTTAATGCAACCATTGACCCTTTGCCTCTTGAATTAACTAAGTCATTGAACAATATTGATAACTAGTTAACTGTAACCATATTTTAATGGGCATCACTACTTCTGTAAAATCTGAAACAATTTAAAACTTAATAAAGAAAGACAAAATGATAATTAGCGGTTATGGTACAGATTGAAAACTCAAAAATTTCTAGAATTTGGATGAAGAAACAGATCTCACCGTTGGATTCGTATTAAGAAATATAGCTACTCAGTCAATTTTCATTGAATTATGAGACAGTTGAATTTTTCTCGTTTCACGATGCAATCGGGCATCGCGTGACTAAAATAAACGCGATGGTGCAATGAGGGCCAAGAATTTAAAGGGTATTTAAAAGGGGAAAATAATAATCAAATTTTCCCCCATTCTTGGCCTACAACTTCCAATAGAGAGGGACAGAAAAGGAGACGAAGAGAGATAGAGAGAGAGAAAAAAAAGAAAAGAGAAAAGTCCCCTTCTTCATCTTATTTATCGGATCTACGAAGATCCAACCAATGGATTACTTCGGGCAAAGACTTGAAGTTGTTCTACTCGACGAGGCCTACAGATCATCACCAACAAAGCCTAGTTTTTACAATTTTTGAAAATCAAGGGTCTTGGGAGCTAAGGCTTGTAGGAATTTTTATTGGCATTTCTTGGAGGTTTTCTTCCTTGATTAAATTCAAGAGGTGAGGGTTTTCTCCTATTTAGGATTACTTTCAATTTAAATTCTGTACATGGCAAGGGTATGACTATGTAGAACAGTTACATAGCTACTATGTAACTAGTATAACTAGTTAGATGTTTGGGTAACTTGAGGAACATGTTATACTTATGTCTACTTGATTTGGGTTTGAATATGTGGATTATGTGTTATATGTATTGCATGCTATGTTTTTAAATTTGTGCCTTAAAGGTGTTTGATAAAATGCCTATAGATGTTCAAGTGTGTTACTTGAATGAAAAATGCTATAACATGCTTAGTGATGTTACAAAATGTTATTATATGCTCTTAGGTAGCGGTACTTCAAGAGGGTTCAAGTACCTCTTCCCTAAATTTGATTTTTGAATTTTAATGCTTTTGAGCATTTATATCTATAATGCCCCAAAATCTCTCTTGGACGACATTACTTTCTAAAATCATTCACATCATGAGAGCAACTAATAAAATCCATAAATAACGCTAATTTCATTCTTCATCCATAATATATTTACGACATCATCCAAAAGAATATGACAAACCATGGCCATTACATCCAACAAAATACGCCAAACAATGGCAATTACGCCCAAAAGAATATGCCCAAAATATTATCTTAGAATGAAACTCCTAGTCTAGTACACAAAAATAGCAATTCTAGACATCCCCCTCTGGATGCACATGCCCATCCACTTGAGCTTCTCAATTTACCTGCTCGTCAACTCTAAGCTCTTCCCCTAAACCAAAATTTGAAAATAAATATTATTTGTAGGGGGTGAGCACTAAGCTCTGTATGAAAATCCTCCCAAACGTGGACAAGGTTTTGAAAACATATAAAACAAGTCGGTCTCATTTCACAAATATCATATATAACTTTTGAAAAAAAAAGTGACAGTTCATCTGATCTCAAATTTAAGCAATATTAATAAATTAAAAGGAGGGACAAAACCAATTCCCAACAATAAGAAATTTTCAATCATAAACCCTTTCCAATAATGCATATCAAATCACAACTTGTATCTTTCACAACATTATGTATCTATGTATCTCAGGTATGTTGTATAACATCGCATGAATATACACATCGAGAATATCCTGGCCCACACACACACACCCAATCCTCGCAAGGATATCCAACTTTTGGGAAGAGCGTATACCAACACATTAGCAGTGACGAATCCAACCCAAAAATAGTATATTAACTCTCATCCTCGGTACCCGTGCGCCAATAGTGGTTTGGTACTCACAAGGCACCAACCCCACTACGAGTGGTAGAAAAAATTCAAACCCACACAGAGTAAGAAACGTATCTATTCACTCTACGATACCCGATCAATGGCCACCCATGGTCATCCAAACATTCACAAGAGATACAATTCCCAACAAATTTCTCAAATAACAAGCAAATTCAAAATCCCCAAATTTCACATGTAGTATTACCAGAGAACAATTTAAGAAAATAAGCAAGAGATCATCAACAATCCCATTTTATTTTTCAATACAAAGCACAAAAGTTTTGAAATCAATGACAAAGGAAAAATCAAGAAAAATTTCATTTCTCTTTAAAACTAGGGTTCTAAGGCAAGAAAAAGAGATTTGATAGCTATTCCACC